CCTAGCGCACACTTGCAGGTATCATAGCTGAGAGCGTTTTGTTTAAAACAACTAAGTTCAAGTTTAAATGGCGCTCTCATCCGATCTGTTTGGAAGCAGCTTCCTTCCAGCAAATGTGATTACTTCCCAATACTGCTCCAGTCCGTTACCCATGCAGAAGTTAGTAAGGGTGAGGCACGGCTCGCGTGCTGATTACAGCCGGGGAGAGGACTTACAATCAGACAGCTTCCTTTCTTAATTGCAAACTTTCAAAACAAGATGATTTTACACTTCCTACTAATGCTTATAAATAGCTGCCATTCAAAATAGCAGAAGAGTGATACAAACAGCTTGCTGTAATGTGGCAGCTTGCAGGCAGGTTATAACAGCAGTAAACAAACAGGACCTGTAAAGTGGTACGTTGACATCACGCCAGCATCCCAGGGATGTTGTGCCTTAATGCTGCCGCGATCGATTTTCACAAGGGGCGCGCAACCGTGCTCCTCTAGCAAAGACCACCTCAGGAACTCTCTGCCTTGTTGGTATCACATATTGCATAAGACTATTTTGTGTTTATTCCAGCAAGCCCCTCACGCCATAGTATCTCCGAGTGGAGGATGCAGAGCATTGCCAGAGATTCTGACGATAGCTCAGATGATGAATTCTTTGATGCACATGGTATGTAGCACCGACTTGGCGAGCAGTTTGACCTCTTAAAATGGTGGTGGTGTGGGGAGGGAGAGAGGGAGGAACCTGCTACCTTGCGTGAAAGTGCACGTTGCTTTCTGATCAAGAGAGCTGCGCAGCCCTGACGGTACCTCCTCAAAGCACTCGCAGCAGCACCCAGCAGACTGTTACATTTAAACATGGCAGTATTTCAGGTTTAATGCAATCTGTCAGATTTTTAAGAGGAAATGTTCGTGAGTGCCATTAACATGCGGGACTTAGTTTTCTACGGTGCAAATGCATGTAGGTAAAAATAAAAAAAATCAACAGCCTTCTCTACGTCAGCTGTGAGTACAACAGTATTTCTGATTCAGCATGACTGAAATTCAATGGATAAATGATCAGGTCGGAAAGACAGTGACAAATAGGATCTTGCCTGGATCGTATGGGAACCCCAAGTTTGTCTTTATCAGTAATCAAGACTACTGATAATACCCTTGTTTGCTTGCATCAAGACAAATGAAAGGGGTGAAGTACTTGGATGGCAGAGTTCAACAGCTTTGGAAGTTTTTACTTGAAGAATTCCTTAAGTGCTTAAAGGTGCTCTAGCTTTCTCCAGTCATCTTTTTGTTTGCCCTGGGTATACATGGAAGGAAGATGTGCACATTTTGCATATCTCACTCACTCTATATATGTATAGTAAATATGAACTCAGTAGTGTACAACACACTGGCAAGAGGCAGACTCCTCCTTAGTCTTGCAGTCCAAATCTAAGATAGCTGCCTTAATGCTTCACAGCTTCAGCAGTGCAGGTTACACTAAATGATGCTGCCAGAAACTTTAACCCCAGTGTTGTATGGTAGTATTCTGGCCATATTTGACCCAAGGAAGGTGAATGCAGCTGAGGGTGATGTAGTCCAGAAAACTTTTGCTATCAAGTATTTATGAACATGCCCCAAATTTTCAGCCTTGCCAGCACAAATCCTCCAGTGCGGCATGCTACACTCTGGTGGAGTCGTGACTTGCAAAACGGCAGGTTCGTGCAGGTTAAGTGACTATTTTGAGAGCAAGGTGGGTCAAGGTTGAAATCCAGAGTGTTTCCTGACCAGAAGCTGAACCAGCTTATTTGATGCTTCTTTATTTATTAACTTATGTAACGCCTATAAAAAATGTACCTAAGGGCTTTGACATAGCAATATAAATAGAAGTGAGTCATCAGAATCAACTTGCCGAGCCACCGTGCATCCTACCTTTTAATTACAGAATAATGGAATCTAGAAATGGACAGTACCTGCTTAATGTATCTGCCCCATCCCCTGCCAGCGCAGAATTTGTCCGCCTTGTATAATGATGGTGTTCTGTTCAGTCTAGTTTGAAATGAGTGTTTAATTTGCTGGGGTTTTGGTTCTTAAATCAATGCTCTAAATGGTTAGATTAAGGCAACTTTCTTTGGGGTGGTGACCACCTGCTACCTCCTTAGCTGCAGCCATCTCTGATTGGACCCCAACTGCACTGAGTTTGTGAATAAGGATTGAACATCATTTACAGTTAATACTGTAGGAGAGGCCAGTACCATGGAAACTAAGTGTGCATTAGGATATGAGTCAATGCTGTTTAAAGCTCCTCATAATAGCTTCCAATACACACACAGATTTTCTTGCAATACAGCAAGTGGAATCTGAGCCCCAAAAGATTTTATCTTATTAGACTCCCTACATGTTCTCGTTTGTGGGCGTTTTCTGGTAAAGAGAGGGACAAATATAGTAAAATCTAATATCTGTACTGTAATAAGTTCTAATAACAGGAGTAATATTCCATTCAGCGATCACTTAAGCAGCAGTCAGACCTATAATTAAACCTCTCAAGGAAATGAGTTCAATATTTAGATTAAGTTGCTGGAGAAGCTCACAATTTAATCTCCCTTTTTTTGTTTTCGATCTGTTTGGCACGCACGGTTTTGCCTGCCTATCCCGTATCGGGTCGCATAACCCGCACACGGAGTCCCTCCGCAGAGCAAAATCAGATTAAGTTAAGTTTTTATGCTGTGGTTAAAAAATGAAATGGCACGTTGCCATGACAATTTCCAGGTCGCTATCTTTACGGTTGAGGTGTTATTAGAAGCACCTAAAAATAAACAGTCTTTGCCAAGCAGTGCATTCAGCCCTCTTTATATAACTCTCTTAGCTGCTTATCAGATTTGTATTTGAAAGAATAGTATTTCAAAATCTTTTTTGTTCCTGATCTTGAGAGCCTTCCAACTAATGATCTTATTAATAACTGTATGGCACCCGTGACTTGGAAGATTACAGCTTTTATATCTTTGAGACTGAGTCTGGAATTGCAGTCATTATTCTGCGTGTAACTCTTAGTTAAATTTACAAATTTAACTTTTCAGGAGAGAAATGGTAGGCATGAAGCCATACATACCATTTCAAAACCAAATTAACCTGCCATCACAGGAAGAAATGCAATTTCAAATCGAGTTTCCCTAAAATGCTGCCTTTTATTTCATTGTCATGTGGAGATCTGAGATGCTACAAATTGGTTGCTCTTTAGTATTGGAGTGAAGAGCGCTCCACTGTCATAGAGATGGTCTTCAAAACGGCTAGTCTTTCAGCATGAGCAGCCTGCCTGGTGGGGTTTCTGTTGCATGAAAGAAGCAGGGGTTAGAATAATGATATAGCTCCTGTCCTTCCATGGAGTTCAATGCGTTTACCTGAAGTTCATATTTAAGCCTCGGAAAACTCCCCAGATGGTGGGGAAATGGTTTGTTCTCTGTCTTTTAGATGAGGGGAAAATGAGGCACCATGGGGATAAGCGTGAAGAGCCAGGGGTAGAACTGAGATCTATCCTGAGCCTCAGCCGCCTGCCCATCCACAGACCCATTTTTGAAGCTTTGAATGTCTTTTAATGAAGTGTCTTTTAATGATCGTTATGGCACGTCTGTCAGATGCTGGATGGAAAGCACTGTTCATTTCCCATAGATCACCAGCTAGTCATGATGTCAGCTGGCCACTACCAGCTGGGCTGGAGGAGGTCTTGTTTGATTAATATTTAATCTGTTGCTCTTTGGAAAGACATTATTTATCTAGGTGCGCTCCTGCAAGAAGGACGCTCCCTTGCCTTGTGTCAGCAGGAGCTGAAGTTACTCGGCACTTCTCAGGAGTGTTTTGGCACATTGATAAGGTCATACCCAAAAATCCTGACATCGGAACAGAAAAATGAATGAGAGATAATGAGGAAGCTCTTCTCGGAGGTGAAGGTTACATGAGGATCCATGTTTGCTTGTGCTGTCTGGCAACACAGGTTTTAACACTGTTCACAGTCAGGATTTACTTCGCTACGATCTTTCTCAAGTCTGGACCAGGAATATTAAAGAAATCTCTGGATAACTGTGTTGATTAAAGCAAGCCCAGCTGTTAGTCCTGCTTGACTAATTGATGGAGGTAGCTCATAGGAAGATAACTAGTAAACAGCAAACCCATTAGTTTTTTTTTGCGTGCTGCATTTGAAAAGTAGAGCCAGTTTTGCTGGTGGGGCTTACTAAATCCTCTTCACGGGGTAGGAAAAAAATATTTAATATGCGCCAGCTGCCAAGTGTCAGAATGCACGGGGAGGGGAAAAAGAGCCCACCTGCTTTCAAGGTTGATGAGCCTGCAGGTGAGTTCATAAGGGCGTGGTACGGAAACGTCTCTTGGGTCCCCAAACCATCACCCTTTTTTAAAGGGGATGTGAAAGGATTTTTTTTGTGTGCCGAAGCCTGCATGAAACAGTCTGTGTTTTCGGCTTCAGTCTGTGTGATGTCCTTGTTCAACATTTCCATTGCATACAGTGGCCTCCTGGTATCGGAGGGCACTTCAGCCAGTCTGTGCCCTTGTGTGGGCAACGGGGGCCACCCCTGGCAGCTTGCAGATTCAGAATTATAGATCTGGAATCAGGCTTGCACTTCACCATTGCTGTCACTGTCATGTTGCTTGGAGGTTGATTAGTTTTCTACAGCACTTGAATACTAGTGCAAGCACACACACAGGCACAATGATGCCAGCAAAAAAGTGCTTTTGCTGGTACAGCTTCTTATATTTGTAGCAGGCAGAACTATATTTGCAAACCTTTCCTAGTGTGCATTAGGGCTATCTCTCTAGGATTTCTAGCCCATTTTCAACATAAAACATAACTTTAGGCAAAGTTCTCTATCTTGTTGTTCTTTCTAAATTTAACTAGCTTCAGACTTAGACCAATTAAAACGTTCCAAGGCCAGAAATAGCCCATGGAGTTAAATTGCCTTTATTCCTTACACTGCTTCAGATGCTGGTGGTATTAATAATAATGAGACTTAGCACCCTTTAACTCAGAGAGCTAGACAAAAAAGTTAGCTAAGCTTTGCAACACCTCTGGGAGTTATGAAGGGCAAACGGCAGGGATTACTTTGCCTACCCCTGACTGTTGGGAGTAAAATGTGCTGCCTAATTAGCATTGCCTCACAGTGTCACAAAGTAGTGCAAGGCAGACAATGTGGCAAGGAAAATGTACTTGGATTTAGACAGCAAACTGCATTTCAGACTATTTATGTGCACTTTAGAGCTATGTGAGCAGTCTTTTTGGTTGACACCAAAACACATTTTAAAGATCAACATAGTGGTTAAACAGTTGACTCCAACTTTAATGCTCTTACTCAGAATTAAGATTTCCAGGGGGGTTTATTTAGATATTCTTTATGTGCATATCTACACACAGATAAATCCATGTAAGTGTGCATGCATTTAAAAATGCTTTTTCTATCTCTCTTTAAAGAGGATTTGTCTGACAATGAAGAACTGTTCCCAAAAGAAATAACCAAATGGAGTTCCAATGATCTGATGGATAAAATTGAAACTCCTGAGTGCGATGATGTCCAGGGTAATTTATTTCTTTTTACTTAACACCACATGTAGCTTTTCCTGGCCACTTAATTTGACCTTCGCAAGAATCCTGAAGGTATAGTTGGAGACGGAGGCAAATGGAGACACAGAGGCAAAGGGTGAAAAGGCCTTGCCCCTGTCCAGCAGGGATCGGAAACAGGGAGAACTCAGCTCCCTTCTTTTCCGCATCGGTTTGTTTTTCCAGCGAGTCTGTTGTTACAGCAGTGAAATTCTCCGATGTGGCCTTCGATCACCCAGACTTTCCTCGGACATTGTTTCTCTTTGCTCCCTCTCCACACATCCAGAGTTGCTTTTAGGGAAGGCTTAGCAGTGTCACCTGTGTCCTCCTTACTTGCAATGTTTTCTTCCCTTTGGTCATTTTAAGATTTTGAAAATTGACTCATTAAGTTAGACTGATTCCTCCAGTGACGCAGTGATCAGAAGACAAAGCAGACAGAAGAGCAAATCAAACCCTGTTCTCAGAGTGTAGTTCCAGCCACTTCCTAGTTCGTGCAGCGTGATTGTTTCTAACAGTTGTGCGAGACTGCCTCGCATTGCTTCTCTACACCTACCTGAGAAGTACATGCAGTACTGTTACCCCCCATTGCTATATGACTTTTTTGCAATTAGCAGCTTGCATTTCAGGTGTATTTAGTGGACTTATATCTTCTCCGGCTGTCTGAATGTGGGCTGTTTTTTATATGTGCTGTGTCTTCTCATACATCAACAAGGTTTCCACATTCAGGGTTTTTTTTTAAATAAAACCCTCCATGTTAAAGAGAGAGTAGGATAGAGAGATCTAGTTGTTGAATTTAATGAAGATGCAGCTCCTTGATTTTGTGAAAAAATGTTGAAAATACAAATACCTTGACTTTCCCATATTGCTAAATGAGACTGGGGGATTTGGGTAGATGGGAATAGGGTCTTGATGTGGAATGTGTTGCAAAGTGTCAGCTTAGCTGTGATCAAGAAGTACGTACTTTGTCAAAATGGAGTTTGACACTCTACTTACGTTTCAAATCTCTTTAATTCCAGATGATTTGTATCACGAACCGTCAGCAGAATACCATATTGGCTCCAGCGTGGAAAGGCTGAGCATAATTGAAGTAAGCACTCAGATTGCATCTAAATAAAACCCTTGTTTATAAAATGTTACTGATATAGGGGTGGAGGAAATGGCCTCCTACATTGCAACAGAGATTTTCTCTGTGTAGTTGAGTGGTCCCTCTTGTACCTCTGTGCCATGGAGTTGATTCCTACCAATGCTTATGCGGTCTCCCCACCAAGGTAGTTACCTGCACAAAATTGTTAATAGCACATAGGCAACAGTGTTTGTAGTTCACAACTGAAAAACACTGCTACAATCCTATGTGTATGTCTGCCTGCACGCTGCTGCAGTAGTAGGTCGAGATACTGGAGCTAGCTCAGGTTCCAGAAACTATTATAAGCCATGCTAGAACAGTACTGAGAAGCAAGATAAATGACCTGCATTGGGTCTGGTAGCTGTTATAGCTCAGGTGTCTCTAGACAGCACGGTATGCTGCAGGTACCTGTCCTCTGACATGAACTAACCTAGCACCAACCGTATTCAGAAACAGCACTGTGCAGAACCGCTTTTCCAGCTTGATCATAGACTGTAGCCCCAAACCAGAACCCTGAATCCAAACAGCCTGGACTTTCTGGAGATTTGTGACCTTAAAACTACCCATTGTGGTTTGAACTCATCTTCAGTATTGGGTGAGTGGGGCAAGGCTTTTTTTGGGTGAGCAGGGCAAGGCTTTTCCTCCCACCTCACCCAGGGGGCCATAAAAGATCAGCATGTGACTGACTGTATTCTCCTCCAACCCACGTATGCATGTATGGATCCTTTTAGTTTTGTTTTGAAAAGATCATTCTAGGAAAAAATGTGGAAGAATCAGCACTGCTATAGATGATTATCAGTGTTCACAAATAAAGGGAAGGGAGTAAGAGAGTCCTCTGCAAATCTGTGAATTACAAACATTTTGTTCCTTTACTGGGTGGCACCCACTCTTTTCTTTGAGTTTTCAACGCGCCTTGTTTGTTAAAGGGTAGTTGTAGTTCAAGAAACAGGTTGTGGGTCCTTTCTCTTATACTTGGAACGAGGCGTCTAAGTAGCCTTTTCCACCCCTCCTTTCATCAGAAATTCCCTGTTTCCTTCTGAAGCAGAGGTTAACTAACTTGAGAGGAAAGGAGTCTGTCTACAAACAGTTGCCAGTAAATATTCAGAGGATCTGGGCTTGGTAGTGACTCATGGTGACTCATTTCAAACCTTCTTGTCAGGAGTGGCTCAGCCAAAGAGCTCCTTCTGTGCTTCTGGCCATGAATTTCCAAACCAGAGTCAGTGTTACGGGCGCTGCAGGGTTGCATATTACTAAGTGTGGTAATTTGCACATCCTAATAGCACAAAATAATATGGCATAGTCTTTTTACAGCATCTCATCCAAAGATGACTTCTGGCCAGTAATAGGGCTTTTTAAGAGAGGTGATTAGCCAGGGGAACAACTTAACAAAGGGGTGCAGTGTATTCCCTTGCTCTTGACGTCTTTAAATCGTCTCTTTATAAGCCTGCACCTCTTCCTAAAGACTTTGTAAGTGAAGCGGAAGGCTTAGCCTTGAAGCAGGCTTTAGAATTTTATTTGGCAATTCCTATGTTATGTTTGGAGGCCTCCTGCTGTTAAAGCTATGAATCTCAAAGTGCTTTCGAGTTGGGCAAGTATTGTTCTCTCCATGTTACAGGTGTACACGTCTTTCTTGGACCTGGCTTCTCCAAAAGCAAGGGGAGACCCTGCATTGCTATTGCCCATACAAGAAAGAATTAGGAATTTTAGTTGCTTTACGGATACTTCATGAGAAAAAGTCATAGCTTTGTGACAGCAGATACCACGAAAAAATGTTCCAAAAGACAGAGCATGCGAGAACCTGTTAAGTTTTAGAAAGTAGCCTCCATTACCATATAGCAGTGTTTTTCAACCTGTGGTCCTCGGACCCCTGGGAGCCTGCAGACTATGTCTAGGGCTCCGCAAAGGATGACTGTGATCAATCAAAAGTATGTGAATGCTCACACTTACAGTTTAGAGGGGTCTGCAACTCCATTTGAAATGTCCAAAGGGGTCCACACCTCCATTCAAAAATTTTTTAGGGGGCCACAGATAAAAAGAGATTGAAAACCACTGCCCTAGAGGAACAAAGTCTTTGGAAGAAAGATTGATGTATAAATCTATGGTTTCTGCATTGTCATATGATCATACCTTTAAGATGCATTGAGCCCTTGGACACAGCAGGTGTTAGTAAACAAGGAGATGGCACAACTCCCTTTTGAGTTTCTAGTTTAACCAGCTTTAACCATTATTACCCAGCTATTCAGTAATATGCTGACAGTTTGGATGGATGTTGTACAAGCTTGTAGAGAAATGGCATTCTCTCTTAGCCCTTTGGAACAGAATAAGATGTTGTCTGGGTTTTTTAAACATATCCTTTCTCGGGCTGGAAATGATGCAGTTCCCTGCAGTTAGGTATCTTGCTATGCACAAGCTTATACTGTATACAGCACAGAAAGGACATTTCGGGTCATCTACTGCAGGCTTCTGCTCTTTCAGGCAAGCATGGCATGTAATTCCTTTCATAAGCTGATCCCACTCCATCTTAAAAGCCACGCTGAGTTGCAGGGGGCCTTGGTCCTTCCCTCTGTGGCTGTGGTGCCTCTTGGGGCTGCCCGAGTGGGCTGTTAGCAGGCTGGATGCTGCTCTCGCTTGGAAGCAGCACTCTGCATGCCTCTCCCATGGCTGGGGGGGGGTGAGCTGCCAGTGGGCTGAGCAGCCCCTGAGCTCTGGGGGCCCCCAGTCCTTCACTTTGTGATGGCGGTGCCCCCTCGGGCTGCCCAAGTGGGCTGCTAGCAGGCTGGGTGCTGCCCCAGCTCGGAGGCAGCACCTAGCTAGATCCAACTCTTTTCCGAGCCCAGCAAGGGCATCCAGCACTCCGTGCACTGTACCCGCCACTTTCCCGCTGCCTGGGACTGCCCAGGAATGGGCTGACTTGCTCCTGGGGCAGTGCAGGAAGGCAGCAGAAGGGCATCTGGGTTTGGTGGCGGCTGGAGAAGGTGGCGGGGATGGTACACAGGGCGCTGGAAGCCCACCAACCCCATGCTTCCCTGAGCCTGCCCGGGCTTGGTGGGCTTCCAGCATGCCATACACCATCCCTGCTGCCTTCTCTAGCTGCCAGCACACCCAGCTACGCTCCTGCCACTTCCCCGCACTGCCCCAGGGGCAAGTCAGCCCGTTCCCAGGTGGTGGGAGGGCAGCAGGGACAGTGCACGGGGTGCTGGAAGCCCCAACGGGCTTGGGGAAGAGTTGGATCTGGCCAGGTGCTGCCTCTGAGCTGGGGCAGCACTCGCCCACTAGCAGCCTGCCCGAGGGGCACTGCTGCCGCAGAGGGAAAGACTGAGGCCCCCCGCAGCTCATCCCACTGGCAGCTCACCCCTGGGCAGGCTCCGTGAAAACAAAACAAAAAAAGGATCAGGCCCCTTGCTGCCTTTGCCTTCAGCAGGTGCCTGTGGCAGCCAGGCACTTGCTGAAGGAGGAAGCGGGGAGGGACCCAATCCTTTTTTCCTGTGGAGCCTGTCTGCCTTTCCCGTGGCCAGGGGGCAAGCTGACAGCTGCATCGTTGCACTTGGCAACGTTGCAAACTGAACTACAACCAGATGTAATCTAGTTTGCAATGATGCAGAGTCATTCAAAACCCCCCAAACTGGCACAGGTGTAATGAGTGACGCCATTAAACCGCACAGATTGCATTTTCGTCACGTGTACATCGTGACGACCATCACATCTACAAGCACCCCTTATTTCCAGCCTAAATTAATTCCTGGCCCGCTTATTTTAATTTATTCCTGTGCTGTACAGCTTGACGAACTCTTCTTTCTATGGTATTCTTCTCTACTTCAACCTATTTCTTGAGAGCAATAATCGCACTCCTCAGCCTTTGTTTTTCTAGTATAACAAGTGAGCTATGCTAATCTTGTCTTGTCAAGGAGCTCTTCTCTGCTCGTGTTCCACTTGGAATTGATTTTTCTTGAATGCAGGTGACTAGAATTGTACATGTTCCAGATGAGGCTTTGATGCCGGAATGGTAACATTAGTACTTCTGTGTTTCTGCTGGAAACACCCTGCTCATTGCATCACAAGAAAGTATTTTGCCTGTTTTTTGTATGGACAGCGAGTATCTTGCTGTTGGGGGGTGGCATTATTGTATATAAAGAATTTGGGAATGGAAAGTGTTACGTCGTCATAACTCTTGGGCAAATAAATGATTTTGCTACACTTCATTTAGGATGAATCTGCACAGCCATTAATGCAGCCAAGCAAAATCCATGTCCTCATCTTGGTACTCCATGGGGGGAACATCCTGGATACAGGAAGCGGCGATCAGAGTTCTAAACAAGGGGACGTCAATACCATCACGACAGTGTTTGACACGGTCATGAGAGTGCATTACCCAGCTGCTCTTGGACGTATTGCTATCAAGCTAGTCCCTTGCCCAGCCATCTGCTCGGAAGCCTTTTCACTGGTGTCTAAGTAAGTTAATGCGACTTTTTGTGGGGGGAGAGAGAAGCGTTAAATTTTACTGTCTTACAGTGCATCTGTTGTTCACGCTCTGAGATAAGATCTGTGTTTGATGAGGATGCATGAGATTGATGAAAGCTGTGCACATGCTTTGGGAACACATTTTATGAATAAACCAGGAAGCGGCCCAGTCTCAACTCTGTACTTGGCTGCAATGAATACAGCAGCAGTGTGGCCCCAAATGTTATGATTTGATTTATTCTGACTAATAAATAAATACTTTGGCTTGAATGCACAGAGTTTATTGGCCAAGGGTCATTCCGACCATATAAATGAATTTCTGATAGAGGGGTGTACGTGTATGTGCTTTCTCTTGCCATACTGCATCGCCATTGGCAGTAGAACACATTAAGTTTTGCCCTTCAAATTTTTGTCTTTAATGATCCAAAACACTGCTTATGTTGACTGCAAATGGTATTCTCTGCTCCAGATGTCAAAGCCCTGTCTCTTTTATCTCCTGTCCTGTATTCAGCCTCAGCCCTTACAGCTATGATGAAGGCTGCCTTTCCAACAGTCAGGATCACATTCCTCTCGCTGCCCTTCCTCTGCTAGCCACATCATCCCCCCAGTATCAGGAGGCGGTAGCCACAGTGATTCTGAGAGCCAATCAAGCTTACAGTGACTTCATCAAATCACAGGAAGGCACATCGTTCACTGGCCAGGTGAGCGAGTTGTTGGTTTTAGTAACGATCAAACCGAAAACAAGTAAAGCTGCTTTTCTCTTAAGCTGTTTTTATTGATCTCATGGAAGAATTGCAGAGCTTGATTGAGCTGGGCTATGAACAGTGATTTGGGTGTTTTGTTGCTGGTTTTTTTCCTTGTTTGGTTGTTAAGATAATTTTTCTCATGCTGCCCAGCAAACCTATTCGAGATGAATCATAAGAATGAAAGCAAAGATCAAGTTAATGGAACTTAGCCATAGAAATGTGAAGTGATTTAAAAGACACTTTGGGTTTGACCTATTTCTGCACAGATGGAGTAGTGAATAATCTCTACCTGCCTTAGGCATGTACTTGTTTCCTATTTGCACAGTACCCAAGAGGCTCACAGTCTCTGTTGTGTTTAACTCCACTATGTTGCTGTGACTTTGCTTAGTGTTATCAGCCCTTTTTACAGCTGAAGCACAGAAAGGTTAAGTCAAGTCACATAGGGAACTGCTGAGGCACTGGACCTGAGCCCTATAGACAAGCCATGCTGCCTCTATGTACATCACAAGTGCTCCAACCTCTTTTACTCATGCATTTCACAGCCCTCTCCCCCTACATAGGAGGAAGTTGGGTCAGATTTGCTCCTGAAACTGCAACTGTGCTTCATAGCTAAAAACAGCTTCCAGCCTAATATAAGGTCTGTTAACCTAGGACTTGCCAGTCCGAGATATGATGGCCAGTAAGGCCTTTACAGCTTGGGTTGCCAAGAGGTTGGGGATGTTATCTAAGCGGCAAAGCTGGTAAACACATGAGGGTTTGTGTTTTCCTGAGTTTAAATGCTTTACTCCTTCTGTGCTTAGCTCTGTGAGCTGAAACCAAGGGGTTGCATTTTTCTACTTTTGTTTGCTTTTTCAGGTCTGCTTGGTAGGGGACTGTGTAGGAGGAATCCTGGGGTTCGATGCCTTATGTTATAGCAATCAGACTGTGTCTGAGAGCCAAAACAGCAGCCGGCGAGGAAGCGTGGTGAGCGTGCAGGTAAGGCACTACACCACAGACCAGTTGGGGCAACACTTAGCATTACAACATCACCACCCCATCAGTTATGGAGAGAAGAGAGTACTCCACTGCCAGTCTCTCTCTAGTTTTGCTTCCAGTCATCCTGCACCTTATTACCAGAGAGGGCTGCTAACCTGCTTCTTGAAGCATATAAGTGTGTCTTGAATAATTCCTAACCATTTCCCATTTTATTTAGGGGGCTTGTTTGAAAGAACAATGTTCTTTCTTTTAACTGAACTGTAATTGTAGCTGAGCATGCATGTCTGCTTTCCTCCCATTCACTTATTGCCCAATTACATGACACTCACTGACGTGTCGTGTTGCTTCTAGTTATACGCTAGCCTACTGGCTCCTCAGTTTGAGGCTTGTAGACCACAAATTAATTGTTTTCAGACATTTATCAAATTAAAATTCCATATACTAGGATGTTCTGAGCCTAGAACTGGATAGGGCTGATCCTGCCTCAGCCAGGGGTTGGACTAGATGACTCTGGAGAGCCCTTCTAGCCTACTTCTCTCCAACTATAACCAACATCCTGTTGTACTAGACAGATTCACTTGCTGCTGAAGCATGAATGGAGATTCAGATTGGTGGGGATTTTTCTTCCGCTTCTTGGCACTACTGTGAGATAGGTAAAATAGCTCAGATCAAGGGGCTTACAGAGATACCCTGGGTGCCTTAGGAAACCATCTGATGGAGTGAGAGATTAGATAGACTTCAGCTGGATGCTAGAGCAGATGGAGAGGCAGTGGGAATGTTTGAAGAGGGAAGATGTAACGTGGGAGCCCTTGCAACTCAGCTCTCTGATGCTTAAGCCTGTGTACTTCAAACCCTAGGACACCGACCTCTTGTCCCCTGGAATAGCTGTGAACAACAGTTACTGTTCCACCAGCTCCAATCTGGAAGCCAGCAGACACCTCAGCCGGAGCAACATTGATATTCCTCGCAGCAATGGAGAGGATCCAAAGCGGCAACTGCCACGAAAAAGGAGCGATTCGTCAACCTATGAACTAGACACAATAAAGCAGCATCAGGCATTCCTATCAAGGTGAGGCTTCAAAGGAATCGAGTCGGGAGGTCCTGAGGCAAGAGGGGTGCCCCCCTGAAGTTTTGATGTTGTCTTACAGGTCTGCAGGGGGCAAGGTTGAGGAAAGGGTTACAGACTATCAGATGTGCTTAGGTTCCAGTAAGGAGTGTTGAGTTCCCAGGGAAATTACCGGCTATTCAGCATGATGCCATGGGATGGTGCTACTTTAAATACACTGCTACATTTTTCCAGTGGTTCTCGATGAAATTTCCAGGTTTCAGTGGGAGGACTGATGGTCTGTTAGGACTCAACCCTGCCACCACTTAGACACTGTTGAAGGATTGCGTCTCCGAGCTGGAGCCGTTCTGTTCTGGCTGCAGTTCTTCCCTCAGCATGTGGAGTAGGAGAACCCCACGCCGTCTCTACTTGAGCCCTCCCAGGCCACTCAGTGACAAGCAAAGAAGCCTATACACTTTATCAGGCCTTGCTGTCCACCATCTAATGGGTCCTTGTTCCAGCAGCCATCAAAAAGGCAAACAAAATGTTAGGGATTATTAAGAAGGAAATTGTAAACAGAACAGAAAGTATCATCATGCCCCTTTATAAATCCATGGTGCATCCACACCTTGAATACCATGCTCAGCTCTGGTCCCCACACCTCAAAAAGGGTATAGAAGAACCAGAGAAGGGCAACACAGATGATTCGTCTTCCCTACGAGGAGAGTCTAAAGAGGCTAGGCCTATTTGGCTTAGAAGAGAGGTGTTTGAGGGAAGACTTGATAAGGGTTTACAAAATACTAAATGGTGAAAAAGTAAATAGGGATTTATTATTTACTACCTCTCACAGTACAAGAACTAGGGGTCACACATGAACCTTGTAGGTGATAAGTTTAAAACAAACACAAGGACATTCTTTTTCACATAGTGTGGCATGAAAGTATGGAACTTATTGCCACCAGGTGTTGTGGAATTGGACAGTTTAGGCAGGTTCAAAAAGGGTTTGGAGACATTTTTGGAAGAAAAAGGCTTCAGTAGCTATTGAGCATGGGCATGAGGGGCATGGGCTCTAAATCAGAACTTCCTAGACCTTAAATGCTGGAGGCTGCAAGTAGGAAAGGAACAGTGGAAAAAACCCTGGTCAGATCCAGTTCACTCTCCCTTTCAGCATCTGCTCTTTGTCACTGTGTGATACAGGATACTGGCCAGATGGCTCTATGGTCTGGCCCTGTAAATGGCAATTCTTATGCTCTTTGGGTGTTCATACACATGTTTTGGGAGTGGGGGGGAGGTGTGGCCCTTTTAATTAGAGTGGCTCTGCGAGGCACTCTAATTAAAGCGCCTGGAATGTCACGTGTATCAGCATCCCCGTGCTGAAAAATGGTGGTGGGGGGCGCTTTAACTAAAGCTCATTGAATGAGCTTTAGTTAAAGTGTCCCTGCTGCCATTTTTCAGCATGGGACACTGATGCATGTGATGCTGGAGCGCAGTAATTACCACACTCCAGCAGACTCGATTAATTGAGTCTGCTTCGGTGCGCTGTAATTACAGCACGTCAGAGCAGCCTTGCTGCACATGTATAGGTGCCCTTATATTCTAACTCTGCACTCTCTTGTCTGAGGCCCTCTACTGAAAGGTTTATACAAGAGGGAAAGTATCCAAAGTGAATGTGTTTGGGGCATAGAGATGCTCTATTTAAAAAGATGACTGCATTTAGGAAGACCAATGAGCATTTTGTCTATTTTCAAGCAGGCAATGAATCTCTTATCAGGACAGCTTCCTGGATGAGAGAAGCAAATGCTGATCGAGCTGGAATAGTTTGCTTCCTCTTCCCAGCTTGCTCTTGAGGTCAGAGGGTCATACCCAGGATTGAGTTGGAAGGTGGCCTGGTGTGGTATCTGGCATGTGTGTCTGCTCTATGGGATGAGTACTGGGTCCAGGGTGGGCTGTAGATGCTGTAGCTGCCACAGTGCAGTGCCTTTATCCAAATGTTCCCTGTAACTGGTTCTCTCCTGCTTCCTCTCTCCAAACCATTTTTTCTGCTCCCAGCGTGGAGGACTTTGAGGAATGGCTTTAACCTCTCATTAGTCAGGCATTCTCCTTGGCTGTGCTGCTGGCTGCAGGAGCGGACAGTAATTATTCTGCCTTTACACCTTCTGTTTAATTTATTTCCAAATCCACCTTTGCTGCCAGTGGCACCTGAGGGGAAATCAAAGATGAGTCACTCCCCATGGCAGGAGCTGGCCATTCTTGTTCTTTCCCTGAGCAGGGTGCCAGCGCAAGGGCCAGGTGCACCGGTCCTGTTTATGACCCTTTCCCTCTGCTGTGCACCCACAACAGGGAATGCAGACACACCGCACTTTCCTCTTCTCTGGCAGGGTGTGAACAGGGTGTTTACATTGTTGAACCAATTACTGTGTTGTGGTACGCTGTCAGCATGGTGATCAGAACAATGTGCTATCAGTGCATCATTTTATCACTAGTAATGGCGTTCCTTATGAAAACCAGAATCCAGTGTAATGTCACTTTTGGCAGGAGAGATCCAAGGTTTCCTAACAAGCACAGTCAACGTGTATCATCTGGGCAGTCTGGCATATGGAGACTTTTTGATCGGTGCCCAGTGCAGACTCGAACACAAGCCAAGTACAGATTAATTTTCATTCGTGTTCTTATGCTTACCCACTTCCTTGGGACAAAGCCCAGCAAAGCCTGAGCATCATCTGAGGACACAACTGCTTTCTCCTCCTTAAATTCAGTCATTGAAAGCTATAGTATTTCTAGTTGTGTTGCACTTTGGAAATTAGTTGATTTTGTTTCTGAAGCCCATTAGATCTTTTCTTAATTGATGCATGCAATGCCTCTGTTGCATTTGAAAAGGAGAACAGATTACTGTAGGCTGCTGGAAGCATGATGGATTCTGATTTCCCCTCTCCTCTCATTCCCTTGACTCCTAAAAGGACTGATAAATGTCCAGTAAAATGAGAAAAACTGTCCAAACAGATTATTAGAATGTGCCTTTCTCTTGTTCCCCACAGGAGGTGCTGGGAGTGTCACGTAACATTTGTCCCTATCTAGAAAACCGTGTCCTGCCATAATACATTGGGTCTATACACAACCTGGTGTTTTGTGTGTTTGTTTGAATCCAGCTCTTTAATGCACTGGTTCCTCTCTCATTACAAACTGTTTTGTATTCATTATACATAACCAAACAAGGCATCACAGCTCTGACAGCTAAAACTGCTCCAGTTTCACCGAAGGATTGTCCTTTTCCAGATGCACTTCAGCATCGCGCAGCAGCCTGACCCCAGGGAGACAGGCGCTCATCACGGGAAGGGAAACAGGCTTGTTCTAGCTGTCACTGCTGTAATCTTCTATTATGCTCAGGGTTTTGATGCCACTGTTTTGACTTTTTTTTTTTTCTTCTCAATGATACTTATGTATAGTATAAGTGAACTTAATAATGGGCTGCTGTTGGTAACTAGAGCTCTAGAAATAGAGTAATGCTTTTGTGTGTGCATGTGTGAAGAGAGAGAAAAGGGGAGAATACATGACAGCTCTGCTCTGGGGCAAAGGTTTTATTAGCATTGGTGGCTGACTGTGCTGTCCCTGTGGGACACTGCATCGCTCACCAGAATGAGACGATTGGAGTGAAACCAGTTTACTTTCTTCCCAACTGAATGTGCGATTCACAGCTGCTGCTTCATCAGATTAGCCCACTCTGATGACAGACATGGGCAAAGGTACCTCCAAGCACCAAGGTATACACAAGGGCATGCTTCACAAGGGGTACTTGCAAGGCAGTGGTAGCAGGACTTTGCGGCACGTGGAGAGCAGCCTCCTTGTCGCTTGTAGAGATCCAGCAAGTTGCAGCGACCCAGGTAGAACTTCGTGTGGCAGGCACAGGGTCTGGACGGGCAGCACAACATGCATCCTCTCCCACTTCATGCCAGCAAACTTTTCCCTGAGACCAAGCTGTCATGTCATTCATTTATCCTACATATTTTACAGAAGAATTTGTTCAGCTCTGTTACACAAAGCTTTAAAATCAATTCGGCTGCTCTCAACTGGCCCTCTCTCTTTCAATCCCTCCAGCTCTAAATAATAATACCATTCCAGCCAGGTTGGCTTAGTTTGACCCTGCAGACCATAGCAGACAGGAAAATTATGACTCTGACGTTTTAGAGACCTCTTATTACTCCCTAAAATAACCTCTTTCTAAATGATAGCATTGTGATATTTAACATCTGATATCCAGCAGTCCACCAGATCTAGAATAGAAGCAAGTGCTGCATCCTGTTGGAAGTGGGGAGGGGTGGTGTTTCCCAGCTCTCTCCTGTTTCTCAGTTCTTTGGCAGTTCTAGACCTATTAGACCTTTCAACCTAGAAACACCTGGCCTTCACTTCAGATCCATTGAATTTATGGAGAAACTAGATACTGTATAGGGTAAAAAGAATGAATAAGTGGCAGGTGTTGTATGCTTTCACTGCAGCTGTTGGAAGGGCTGGGTTTACGGGGTGTTTAGGATGCTGGTAACGCTAACAAATATGGATACACAGATGGAGTGAAGGTACGGGTGTCACAGGTGTGTGATTAAATGCAATTTATCTCATGGTTGCAGAGCTGATTATACATGGCTGAAATGTTTGTCAAGCTCTGTGGGGCAAAGTCAGTGTATGAGAATGTATGAAACCCTCCTGCACATTTTGATCTTTCTTTTTCTCTTTTCCCCCTCCCATGTTTCTTTTCTTTTTCCTTTGTAATCCCTTAACATTTGTCCAACAACTTCCTTGAGGAAGAAATGGGTAAGCACAGCTTTCCATACCATTGAGAATAGGGTGATGGAAAGAATACAAATGTTGACAAGCAGAGGGCTAGCAGTAATAATAATTCAAATGGCGTTAAGTAAAAATTCATTGCAAATGCTGACTTCTGCATGCAATTTAGTAATTTTCATTTGCTGCTGTTAGCTGGCAAAGTAGTACTTCAGCAGCAACACCCAACAAAGAGCATTTTAAGAGAGTGGAGAAATAAATAGAAGAAGCCAAAAAACTGCATCTTGCTTGGAACTTGAATCAGTGGGTTGGATCATACTAGCGAAATAGGAGGGTTCGTGGAATTCACTCGCGTGATGAGGTGGAGCTGGTTAGTGGGCTGGCTTCCTTTTGCTAAAATAATAGTGTGTATGCACACAATTAACCTACTTAACCAATGAAGAACCTGCCTTTTATTTTCAAACAGATGAGAACGACATTTTGACTTCACTTTGCTCTTCCTTTTGTTTTAGTTTACATTCTAGTGTGCTGAGAAATGACCCGGGGTCCAGGAGATCTAGCAGCTCCACAATGCTGGATGGAGGAAACCTTGGGAAGTTTGAATTTGAGATCACTGATTTTTTCCTGTTTGGGTCTCCCTTGGGCTTGGTCCTTGCTCTGAGGAAAACAGTCATTCCAGCTCTTGACAGTAAGTTCTGACATTGGCTAGTGATTCTGCTGAGTGGGTATTTAAAATACCTTCTGCAACGAAAAAAAAAATAAAAAGGTTCAGGGTTCCAAAGAGAAAATCCAGTAATTTGGATATGAGAGTGTAGAGTACACTTAAAAATTAAATGGTACCTATTCCACCCTTGATAAAGAATAATTTGCACACTTAAAAATTAAGTGGTGGCTATTCCACCCTCGATAAAGAATAATTTGCTTCTGTACTTAGGGATTACACAAGGCTTTTACTTGCAATAAAAGTAAAAAATCTACAAAAATGACTTGGTAAAGAATGTTCTAATAACCCAGCAGTTGAGTTAAAACTCTAATGTGCTGGAAACGAGCTCTCTTTAGTGCCTTCTTTCCCT